ATGGCATTGAATGTGACGACCCTAAAATCTTGGAAAACGAAACCTATACATTCTATTCTAATTTATACTCCTCACAGTTCTCCCAAGCAGATTGTGATGCCTTTTTTGATCAAATAGATAATCTGATCCCTAAAATTGATGAATCATTTAAGGAATTTTGTGAATCTGACCTTAGAATCGAAGAGTTAGATGCATCTGTGAAGAAAATTGCGCTTAATAAATCCCCTGGTCTAGATGGGCTTACAGTTAATTTCTTCCAATTTTTTTGGGAAGACTTAATTTTATTCAAAGCTATACTGGCCGGTACTGAAATGGGAGAATTGATGTCTAGCATGAAACAAGGATTAATTACATTAATTCCTAAACCAACCAAAGATAAACAACAATTGGATAACTTGAGCATCTTAGGTGTGTTCTTGCTGTGTCGTATCAAGAAGGAGGTAAAATATTTGGGCATTACAATTTCAAAAGATCACAAAGTCTTAGAAAAAGTAAATATTTCAGATAATGTTGACAAATGTAAGACAATCTTAAATGAGTGTTTACAAAGAGACATCACAATTTTTGGAAGAATATTATTAACCAAAATGGATAGTTTATCTAGATTTATATATCCAGCTTACTCTTTATCAATATCAAATAAAGTTATTAAAACAATTAATAGCTTAAACTTTAACTTTATTTGGAGGAATAAATGCCATTATATATCTAAAGATGATTTGGTTAAACCTGTAGAGATTAATACATACTAGAATCAACACTGTTTGCTATCAGTTGTTAATTCTGAGAATGACCGAGCATATTAGCATATGAGCTTATATCATGTATAAATATCCAAGATACTTATATAATCAATAGAAGCTCATACACCAATTCACTTGGTCTAATTTTAATCCAAAGATTAATGTTTAATTTAAGATAATTAAATGTTATAGCAAAAGTTTATTTTGAATCAGAGGCTAGGAATCTTTGCTTTTCAATAACCAGAAATATTATCCCTTTCTGTGTTTCGTTTCAATAATGAGGCAAGTTTAAAAATGAAGAAATTTTATTACTAACAATTTTAAACTGTAAGATTTGAACGACTATTATAAATGACAATTCATGGATGACAATTTAATGACAATTTTTAACAGCTTTGATATTAAACTTGTTTTAAAAAGGCAAACCTGTGGCTGGATGAAAGCTAAATTGGAAATACGAGTTTGGATGCGTGAATGGAATTCTCCGAAGGTTTCTGTCAGAGAAAGAAGCGCGTTCTGGATGGAAATGATGGTTTTGCAGCTAACTGTTGTTACTTAGAGAAAACAGCATCAGACACAATCTGTGTGCTACCTCACCCAGCAAGGACAACCCTTTGTGAGGATCCGGAGGTCAAGGGAGGCTGGTTTCTTCCTCCAGGTACTCGGTCCGGTAGAGGAGACTCGAGGAACCGACTCTCTGGTCCGAAGATGTCGCCGGGTACACAGTGTCGAGCGTCTGGCTTACTCTGAAGGAGTTTCGTCTTACTTAACTCAAAAATCAATACTCTGGCAGGAGTTTTTTCGTCAGCTGGTTACAGTTTACGTTTATTCTTGGCTATTCTTGTCAGCGTGACAGAACAGCTTGGCAGAGGTTCAGGGCGGCCGTCCCCGGTTCCTCAGTTGGTGGTTGGTTCAAGAACTGACTTGAAAGCTGGTGGAGGTTAGTTTACAAAGCTCTCAGAACACTCCCACTCTCTCAGCAAGAAAGCTTTGATCATGCGTCAAAAATATGTGATGCAGTTACCCTTTACCCTGGATCAACCCACTGTGTTAGGTGGATAATATGGAGCTGACCTTCTTATGCTGGAACACACATTCCTGTCACCAATCATAATTATACTTATATCATTATTATACCCAAAGCATAATAATCCATTTCATGTAATTAAAATACATTTACTGAACCAAGTGATTATTTATGAAGATTATAATAAACAGTAATAAAATCACAGAGATTATTATTATTATTTTGTAATTATTATCTTGAATATGAAGTGTCCTTCCTCTGGGACGGAGCAGCAGCAGATAAGATGATGTGTTCTTCCAGACATCATGACTTCTTGGTTAATCTGTGGATTTAAAAGTTACTGTTCGACCCAGCTTGACCCAGCTGGGTAAATGTGACCTTTGCCACAACTTAGAGGACCTTGCTGACGCTACAGACCCCCCTTTGTCAATGGTAGGTGGTCGCAGAAAACCACCTGTCGTTGGCAACCAAAGACGTCAAGAGACTCTCTTTCTGAAGAAGCTGTTGCAGTCCAGGTGAAGGCTGGAGAGAGGCAAGCGTTTCCTCCCCCCGTGAAGACAGGAGCATATCCTGAGAAGTTGGTTAAGTCAGGACCTTGCTGACGCTACAAACCATACATCGAAGGTGGTGGAAACGCAATGACTTTGATGTAATGAATGGTGTTTTGAAACTTAAATGGTTAAAATCCTTCCTAAATAATCCACACTCCATTTGGTTTTTTATATCAAGTATGTTTATGTTTATGTTTATTCACTTAGCTGACGCTTTTATCCAAAGCAACTTACAATTAGTAAGTATAGTAAGGTCTTCTAAAGTGTGACTTTGAAATTACTAGGTTACCTGTTAAACTCTCTGCATTCCATAAACAGGTCCTTCTTTATTGGAAAATGTTATTTAAACATAATTTCACACCACATAATAGCCCAATTTGGAACAATAGATATATGCTAATGAACAGAAAATCTATTTTTATCCAAGATTGGTTATCAAAAGGTGTTTGGGCAAATGCAGGACATGTTCTAGAACATCAAGACTTTTGCCAAAAGTTCAATATCCAATGTTCTAAAAATCAATTTAATATAAAATCCATTCCACTGTCACTTAAAAACATAGTTGTAAATGATATAATCTATTCTGACATCCCCCCCAGGTTAAGACAACTATATATAGATGATATTCTATTTTGTGATGTTAAATACAATAATAAGTTTCGAAGATCTTCATTAAGGAGTCTTTATTCTCCAAATTTACTTAGACGTAATTACATATTAAAAGATTTCCAAAGGGAAGAAAGTGAAAAAATAAGAAGTGATTATATCACCTTCCCTATCCCTCCTAAAGGGAAAGAAGTCCAATTTAAAATTTTGAATAAAATTTACCCAACAAATAGACTCCTTGGAGATAGATTCAGTATAGAAACTGGTAACTGTGTGTCAGGGACTTGCATAAACCAGCCAGCAGAGCACGGATGATTTTCTTGACATCTTAATTTATTACTTTTTTTCTTTTCTCCAAAGAGGGTTTCAACCAGCACTTGACATTACAAGACAATGGACGTAGTAACAAAGTAACCCAAACTCCGAACCTGGCTACAGACATGTACAAAAAAAACCCTCCTACAGATACAACAGGATCAACTTAAATAGTGGCTGATCAGACCACTGCGACCACAATAGGGTGAGGAGACATCAGTTAACAAAGAACATAAATAAACTACCCCTAACAAATTCATACTAATCAGTCCATTCTGTTTGAGTTACTTCAAATGAAAACATATTACTATCAAAACCCAACTATTATTTACAAAAGAGAATAACTAAATACATAAACACAGGAATCGTCTCCCTTGAGAGTTGGTATGACCCAATGGTGCTGATTAGGCCAAGTGATCTGCTACAGCTGCTCCAACTCCAAGGCCACTGGCAACTCAAAGAAAACATGTTAATCATACTAACCCCTACATACTAAAACCGATGAGTAACTGAATGTGTGCACTTCATACAGTCACCCGAACAGTCAATCCATGGAAACAAACACCTTTGTTCAAAATAAAAGAAACATTAACAGTTATTTACTTGAAGTGTGACAGCAGGGCAGCTGTCACACTGTGTATTTTGTGAAACAGAAGAGGAGGACTTAGATATCTATTTTTTTGTGCAGTTTTATACAAATATTTTGGTTGGATTTTCATACCTGGCTTTGTTCCAGTGGGATTCAAATTACCCCATTTACTTTAAATATCATAATGTTTTGAGTGTTTTTGAAAGAATCGAAAGTGAATTATGGTGTTAATGTGTTATTAATATTGTGCAAGTAATGTATACATAAATGTCGTTTTTTTAAGACCAAACCAACAGTAGCTTATTGGGAAAACGATTTAAAATTATTGGTTAAATCTTTGACTTTAGTTAAAAAGAAAAAGGCTGATTTTTTTTATTTCCTTTGCAAATGATTTTGAGTTAGTTAGATAATAATCTGTTAATTATGTGACCCCATCTTTAGATTTTCTTTTTTTTTTTCCTATATATGAATGTTGTTAATATGTAAGGAATGATTATTCTTTGAATATGTAGTGTGGGGTGTATTTTGTTTGTATGTTATCTTTTCCAATTAAAAAAAAGCCTCCACCGGAAGCAGCCTGACAGTGGAGGTCTGCAGCCAGGTGCTTTTGGAGAGAGGAACAAAAAACATTACGACAAATATTTTGTCTAAAAAACCACCAGCGGAAGTTATATATGAGAGCCAGGTGTGTTTTATTCTACTCCAGCAGGTGGCGGTAGTGCACCTTTACGCTGGTCACCGACCACCGGAAGACGCAGAAACCGGAAGCTGCTAACAGAGCTAGCTTGTTGGTCTGGTGTGTGAGGAGAATATTTGAGGTTCTTCAGTAAAAATGTCTTCACTTTAGTCTCTGGGAGAGTTGATCAGCTAAAGCGACTAACTGCTGCTGCTGCAGAAATCTTCTCACCAGGCTGTGGAAACTTTCTTCTCCTCCTCAACAACTTGGTGGAGTTCTTTCCAGAACCAGAGAAGATATTCTGCGGTCTTCGTGACAATCGGAGCTCCAGAATCAGGTTGTGGGTGAGAAAAGCTTTTCTCTAGACTTCCTGCCCTCTGGATCTGCTGCTGTTCCTTTGGCCAGAACCAAAGCGTTGGATCTTTAATCTCCTGCGTTGTTCTGAAGCAGCATCTTAATCAGCTCTCCTGGTTTGTTTCTATTGCAGCTGTTGGCTAAACACGGCTAAAGAAAACCTGCTACCACTTCAGGATCATCCATCAGCTGGGACTGATTCATCGTGTGTTCTTCACCACCTGGACCTGGACAGCATGGACACAGGTACTGGTGGATGAATGAATATACTGTATTGTCAGTCTATTGTAACCCTGGCGTCAGATGAAGTTACCACTTATTCAAAATAATAATAAATGGGCCAGACTCTAGGTCCAACAGGATTACCTTACAAATTACCAGTGAGTGGGAAATGGAATAGCTGGATCCAAAGAATGAGCAAAAGAACACAGTTGCACCAGATTTGTAATTTTATATAGATATATGAAAATAGAACAAAAATACAGCAGCTGCAATAGACATATAATTAAACAATTAGGCATTTCCCCCTATATCAGTAAACCTAGTCAGGTTGAGCTCAAAGTCAGTCTTCTATTTGGTCGTAGTCTAGTCAAAAAGAAAGTCTCCTCGGTCTTGTAAAACTCAGGTTCAGTGGTCTGAGTGGTTACCACTGGAATGTTGGCTCAGTATAGAAGAATGATGTTCTCCTGATCGGGATTCAGTTCAGTTCGGGCACAGGCTCGCCATCTCCATCCGGAGAGAATCCAGGACTCCAATCCACTTCAGTCCCGTACCGAGCATAAAAACCTAGCCTGCACAACAATAATGCAATTATTGTTTATAGCTAAATAAAATTCTCATCTCTTATTCTCACAGCTATAGCTTTTACAATCTTTTCTTTCTTCATCCTTCAAATTACCATAGTAACAATTTACATGCATGTACATTTGTTTTCTCAAAATACATTTTGGCAATACATGAAACATGTTTTTAACTCACGTAACTAATAGTTTGAATCTTTTTTTTTTTCCAGTTTTTAACCAGTTTTTCTTAACAAGGATTATGATTAGCATGTAACCATAGAGTAATACAAAAATTACACAATAACAATATGATAATCAACAAAACTGACGTTTAAGATCCACATTATTCACATTCATTTGGAAAAATAAAAGAAAAATAATTATTTGTTCCCTTCTGTTAGCAGAATTACCATTAACATCCATTAAAATGAACTCATGTGGCTGGCCAAAGTGAGTTAGCTTTAGTTAGCAGGTTGCTAGCAGAGCTTAGCAAGCACATGGCGTTAACTCACCAAGATGAGGTATTAGCGTGCTTGAAGTGCCAGCACAGCCACCTGGTCTCTCTAGCGTGGGCTCCACACAACCCACTATAACACATAACCTAAATTAGCCGTCTAGAAAACTCAAATACTCTTAAACTTCTGTTCTGTATAGCGACTCACCCAATAAAAGGTTTATACGGCTCGACTCAATCCCCTGAAATATGGTTCAGTGCGGCTCCTCTGCAATCTTCCTCCAGCTCTCCAAAGAGCAAAAAACGGCGCCTGAGTCGCTCACCTTGTAGGAAGGCGGGACTAACGCCACTCTCAACAAATGAGAGGGCAAGTTTAACTCGACGGGAGCGCCAACCGGAATCAGGAACAAACTAAGGAATTACACTTCCGTCTTTTCAAACTAAAAATATTTTCCAAAATTAAAGCGCGGAAGTAAACTGATACAAAAAATTAAATAAAATTAAGGCGTTTTATCTACTGGGTTACATTATGGTGGGACATTACAGTGAAATTATGAGACTGAGGTTCAATCTTTAAAATAATGATCTGTATATGTTTAGCACTACTGGGGTTCTAAAAACCCCCAAAGCGTTTTACATCACAGTCATTCACTCGTTCACAGACTGTTGTAGAACCTTGAAGTTTTAGAGTGAATAGATCTCTCCACTGAATGATTTGTGAAGCCAAGTATAGTGGTCATGTGGCTCATTTTGATCCAAATAGGTTTTTGTTTTGAGGGGAGTAAGGGTTGGTTTATGCTTGCCGCGTTCGCGAGGTTCGCACGGCTCCGCGCGGCAAAATTGCGTCATTTTAACAACCACGCCCCTCTACCGCGCCTCCGCATGGCCCAAACTTTCCGCACCGCGCACCTAGGAAATTTTCTTACCACGCGGACGGTCGGACACAGAAAAACATGGCGGACTGGCAAGAACTAGTATGGCAGAGGTTCGTAAATACAGACATTTGTATGAGTCAGCTCTCCGAGATCACCGTGATCAACATGTTGTTAATAATTCTTGGAGAGAAATAGCTCGCACTGTCGGAAAAAACGAGCACGCTGTTAAAAATGCTGGAATGCCATGTTGTAAACAACAGTAATTTTTACTTCTACTATGGTGTAGTGTTGGATGCATGCCGTAGAGCTCCACGCTGCCCCCTACAGTTTGGGAGAATATTGGCTCACCGCAGAGACAAGCCGCATGAACCATAAACGCTGCAAGTTGTGAAGCGCGTTCCAGCCGCGTGCCGCATCACCAAGCGGAAAGTAAATGCGTCAAGCATGAACCAAGCTTTAAAGTCCCAGCTTAAAGGCCCAGTGTGTAAAAACATTCAACTCTTTAGCGCCACGCAGTTCAGAGTAAGTATTGCAGCTCTGGTAGCCCCCACTAGGGTTGGACTGTTTTTCCATTCGCCCACCATTAGTCCAATAAATGATGATGGGCCATGGTTTGTGCATGTGACTGGTTAAGGTATGATTCACTGACTGATTTGTGAACACAGAAGTCTAAAAATGGATTATTTTATGGATGCGCAGCACAAATTAGAATTTTCTTTTAGTTTAACTCATTCACTGCCAGCCGTTTCCTGATCAGAAAAGCTCTTCGCTGCCATCGTTTTTCAGCGTTTTTACTGTTTTTTTAAGAGTCACAGAATGTTGCTCTATGATGATGTCAACGCCAAAACTACCAACACAAAGAGTAGACTCACCTCTTACATCAGGAAGAATCCACGCGTTTCGAGCGTTATTTGTTCTTTCAAATCCGTTGTTGAATATGTGATCGGTAGAAACTTTCCCGGTTTTCGCCTCACTTTTTTTTACAGCAGTGGCCCAAATCGATCTCCTAACACTTAGCCTTTCTGCTTCCTGATCATGTGACGTGTGACGTACGCAGATGAAGATCGGCTTCAGAGCTGGGATGTTTGTTCTCACAGTGCTGGGGCTCGTTCCGACGCCCACACAGTAAAAAAATGCCAATGACAGTTAAAGAGTTGTTAAAGTGCTGAAAGGAAGTAGGGCTGAAACGAGTCATCAAATGGTTCGATTCATTAAGTTCCTCGATTCATTTCTTTACTGATTCGAAGCTTCGTTAAACGTGCACTCCACAGTCTGAACACATTTTACTGGAGCTCTACGTGGTGATCTCGGTGCTGTGGTGGAAAAAAGAGAAACCAGCAACGACAGAAACCATTGTTAGAGGCAGAAACGGTCCAACGTTTGGATCAAGAGCAGGGATTAAAGTTCTCTGTCGTGGCGACGGAAATCCGTCAGTTGGAATGATCAGAAAATAGTTCCGTCAAAATCTCTCTCTCTCTCCTGTTGCTAATCGAAACGCGTTTCTCCCATCGACATATACATACATGTATATGTGGTTTCTCCACCGTTCTGCACCGCCCAAGCAGCAAAAACGCACGTGCTCATTGCTCGCTCCCGCGGTGCGCACAAACACAAACTGCACGCGCACCAGGCGCTGGTATTCTAACAGAGCCAATAAAGCTCTGATATCACAACGAGAGTTAACGTGATGAGCGGAACCAGGACCCAAATTCCCGGTGGGCCGATCTGAGGTCGGTCCTGACCTGTTATTTATAATTTTATAATTAATATTAAGTGAATGCACTAAACCCACAAATGATAGAAGATTAAATATTATTAATCATATTACTATCAAATGTAAATAAGTATAACAGATAACTAATCTTAATGAAATAATAATATTAATAATTTTTATTTTAATATTGATTATATTTCATTTCTAAGGTTTGGATGTCTGTGAACATTACAGAATATTCAGACTGGTGTAAAGAACATGATATTATTAATAACAGGTCATGATCTAAAGCTGGTCTGAGGTATAAAACTCTGCCCTGGGCCTAAAGCCCTGCAGATACATTTAGTTTCTATAAACAACAACAACAAATAAACAACAGCAGCTGGATTCTACTTTGTTCCTTAAATTGAGTCACGTAGTTTTGCAAGTTCTGCAGCTCACACGTTCACCAGGGAGCTCTGCCAGCTGATTGGTTCTTTTGGTACCTAGTGCAGTTCTGGTGCTGAGCAGCATGGATGCATCAGTGGATTTCACTGTAGTCTGTGTTCATAATGGATTAAGAAAGGACAGGAAAACATTGTTTACTCAAATATATCATTATAATGAACATGTATAGATACTTTATCATACATACCTACCAGCCTGTAACTCTACTTTCCCCCAAAAATGCACCAGACTGATGCGTTTAAATATAAAATGTCCAATAATTTATTTCCTGGGGGGGGGGGGGGGGGGGGGCATGCCCCCGACCCCCCTAGTGTACTTTAATACTTATCATCTTTTTTACCTCAGAGAAATCTCAACACCCACACTTTTAAACACTGTGTGTGTGAACGGGTTATTCCAAGTTTTTCAGAAACAAGAACACTGACCTTAAAACCAATCAAAACCTGAATAGTGGCTGTGTGTAAACAATGTGAGCCCCTCCCCCCCCACAATAATTTTCAGTCAGATGAGAATTTTTTGCTTCAATCCCTGATCAAGAGTTAAACTACGAGCAAACTACTGAATTGGCTGACTGAGTGGAGGTGGTTCATAGATGTCGCAACCATTATGTCAGAAGGGAATGCCCCTCCCACTTTTTAAAAGCATGCATTTGGACCACACACACACACACACACACACACACACACACACACACACACACACACACACACACACACATTTAGTTCACCTTTTGCTCTTTCGATTGTTCTCAAAGAAATCCATTCCACTTGATTCATTAGCAATGACTCCGTCTGCTGAAGTCCGTTCCACGTTTTCCTGGTTGCTCTGCTGCACGCATGCTGGACGTGACCGACATGGTTGTCAACAAAGTTAGAAAATAAAAGACGGAACGAACCAAAGTGAAACTACAGGCTTGTCGAAGCTGGAGGAGGAGTCAGTGCCATTACTATCCCATAATAAGCAGTGTCCATGTC